AGGACTATTTTATGGGGCAATTTTGACACACGGAGAGAAATATTTAGTAAAAATTACGGAAATTTCAGTTCACTTACCGATTACGGAGTTGATTCGAAAAATTTAAGTGACGGTTATTTATTATTGTTATTTTTCACCGATAATTCAGATAAAAATTACGGAGCACAGAAAAAAATTCCATGACTTTAGATAAAAATTACGTGACAGAATTACGGAAAATACAGGTAATTTTTATTGAATATTTATCTCAGTGCACGGAATTTTATCATTATTATTTTTTATTATTTCATCATATTTGTATTTTATTTTTGTTTTAAGAAATTTTTAAAAAACGTAAAAATGAGAAGATAGTGAGGATAAGTCCCTAGAAAAAATTAGAATAGTCATTGATTGATTGGGGTAAAATCTGGGAGGTGGTGGAGAGACGAAATTTTTCTACACTAATTTCTAGGATATCACTGTAATTATTTGGGAGATAATCCGGTGATTAGATGGGAAAAACGGGAGGGAATTTTCATTTGAAAGTCTGGGAATTCTGGTATTCAACACCCGTAGGAGTGCCCCTGGTATATGTAATCCCCGGATTTCGAGTATTTTCAGGCTGGCTGACGTTAATTGCATCCTAAATAATAAATATTATTATCGGGGACAAATGCGATAGCGAGATACTCGGGTGATGGCCCAAAATCCGTTAAGACGTGGGATGTGGCTTCTTTCGGGGTTTAAGACCTTTTCAAACCAGGAAGTTTACCGAAAGGTTATTTATGTGAGACCTGACCAAATTGCAAGAAAGAATGAAACTGCTGACGGACTCAAAATTGTTTTTATTGTTTTCATTAAATTATTATTGCATTCGGTAATTGTAATGGAGTTTTACGACATTTTTTTTATGATAATTCATACTGTCGTGGATTGGGAAAATTTGTTATGGAAAAATTAATGAAAAATGGAGAAAAGGGGAGAAATGAAAATTTCATAACTTCATTGAACAATCGATGGAACATAAATACGGAAATTTTCAGTTTTCCCCGAAATTTTCAGTGGAAAAATCAACAATTTCCCCATTATTCGAATAAAAAAGACCTAAAATTTAATTTAAACACGATTTAAAACCCCTCACGATTCAGCTCTCAAAACATCTCCAAAACTAATCCAAAAATTTAAATTCCTCTAAATTCCCGCAATTTCTGCAACCCACGGTAAAATTCCGAGTTAATTCTCCGATTCCCCGCGGAATAACGGATACCGTTATTTTATTAACTAAATATTTGGTTAATAATATTCCCTTGGAAGACCAACAAGTGGATAGAAAAAATAATTAGAGATTTAAGTTTAATAAACGTCCGACTGACCTGCGTGTCCGGTCTACTTGCAGCGATCAAGACGGAAGGATCTATCGTATTATGTCTAGCGGTGAAATGCACCTGATGACGACGGGAGGTGCAGAGGGGGTGGTTCGCCACGGAAACTGCATTCACAAAAGGATAAACACAGTTGTATCGAAGATTCAAAGTGAAAAGCGAGATTCGACCATGTGTAACCAAATGGAACTCACGGAGAATTATCGAATAATAAGTCTTAAAATCTCCCCTATTGAGAAAGAATTTTTTTTTGTGGAAGTTGGGGGGGGGGGCTAGGGGCCTAGGTGCCCAGGGGCCCAGGGGCCCAGTGGCAGGGGTGGTAGGGGTGGCAGGGGTGGCAGGAAGAAAGGCTGGGTGGGCTGGAAACCCGCGAGATGGAAAGGAATCGTATGAAAATGCGCGTCGCCTCGGGACCGATTCATACAAGCATCTCGGTCTCCTTTTGCACCACAACTGTGTAACTGAGAAATGTTTAAAATGAAAGTTGGCGAATACCTTGTATGAACGGTGGAGAATGCCTTTTTTACAGCTCGTGTATGCGCACAAGTGAGACTATTATTGGGATCAGTCTATTGATGGAATCACGCTCACTTTCTGCTATGAGGTGTACGACGAAAGAAGCAAAAAATCCGACTGTTGGATAAAAAATTTATCAAGTTTCAAAGATTAGTTCTGGGAGATTGTAGAGAAAATGTTATGAACATCAAAAAGGTTTCAGAAGTCAATACCGATATCTTCTTATTTTTTAAAATTCTTTGCTAATTTTTGAGACACGATTTATAAAATCGATTGCAATAACTCATTAAATTGCTGAATTAAAATAAATAATTAAAAATATAGGAATTACCAGTGAAATTCTTGGGGGAAAAATCGGGAATTCCGAGGTTGTTGGGAGTGATTTAAAAAATCAACTGGGTTGGGTTTTTCGTTGAGTAAATCAAAGAGTAGATCAAAGTGTAAATCAGGGAGAGAAAATTCAGATGTAAATGGTATTGGGGTTTTGAAAAATGCCTAACAGTGGTGATTTCGTAATTCCGTGGACACGCGGTGTTCCACTCTCTGGGGGAATTGTTGTGGCAAAGGGTAGGAGATTCCATCGATATGGCTGTGGATATAATAGATTACTTGGTGGCGATGGATACCAGAGGACTAACAGTACCTTAGACAGACACGTACGGAATATTGTGCCAAGTTGTAGTAACGTAAACCGTTACTGGCCATATGGAAAGTTCGGCGGATTGTAAACGCGACGTATACGGAACAGCACGGACTATTTATACCAACAAAGTCAATGGACTCGTGATTTTTCAATAATTAGGTCTCCTGAGCATTCGTGCTAAGACCATTAGCACAAAACGTGCTAAATTATTTATAAAAAATGTTTTTTGATAAATACATTTTGATTTTCACGCGTATTAAGACACCCACGAGGGGAAAAATCCATCTAAACACCCGTTTCATTCATTTTACGAAAAAATACCAAAGAACCATTTTTGTGGGAAATTTAATTACCTATGAAAAAGTCCTTCACCATTTCCACCTCAAAACAGCCATTTTCGAGATAAATCGAGTATTAAGAAAGCATTATCGTTGGATTTATCTTTTTTTAATTTTCCAGTTGGATTGAATATTGATTGAAAATGAGGGAAC